TAAGGACACCGAGGCCGGCCTAACCGGGTGTTCGGGGCCTGGCCTGAGGGGGCTGCAGGGTCGGCTGCGGGCCGCGGGAGCCCTTCCAGCTCCGCAGGGCGGCCAGCTCGGCTTCATCGGCGTCGCTCTGGCGGCCTCTGCTGGGCCGGTGGTGAAAGGACGGGTGGGTGGTGCCAGAGCTCGGGCAGGAGCATCAGAGGGCTGCTTGGGGACCGGGGTCAGGGGGGCCGGGGTCAGGGGGACCCGGGTCAGGGGGACCCAGGGTCAGGGGGACCGGGGTCAGGGGGACCCGGGTCAGGGGGGCCGGGGTCAGGGGGGCCGGGGTCAGGGGGACCGGGGTCAGGGGGGCCGGGGTCAGGGGGACCCGGGTCAGGGGGGCCGGGGTCAGGGGGGCCGGGGTCAGGGGGACCGGGGTCAGGGGGACCCGGGTCAGGGGGGCCGGGGTCAGGGGGACCGGGGTCAGGGGGGCCGGGGTCAGGGGGACCCGGGTCAGGGGGGCCGGGGTCAGGGGGACCCGGGTCAGGGGGACCCAGGGTCAGGGGGACCGGGGTCAGGGGGACCGGGGTCAGGGGGGCCGGGGTCAGGGGGACCGGGGTCGGGGGGACCCGGGTCGGGGGGACCCGGGTCGGGGGGACCGGGGTCAGGGGGGCCGGGGTCAGGGGGACCGGGGTCAGGGGGACCCGGGTCAGGGGGGCCGGGGTCAGGGGGACCGGGGTCAGGGGGGCCGGGGTCAGGGGGACCCGGGTCAGGGGGGCCGGGGTCAGGGGGACCCGGGTCAGGGGGACCCAGGGTCAGGGGGACCGGGGTCAGGGGGACCGGGGTCAGGGGGACACAGGGTCAGGGGGACCCGGGTCAGGGGGACCGGGGTCAGGGGGGCCGGGGTCAGGGGGGCCGGGGTCGGGGGGACCGGGGTCGGGGGGACCAGGGTCGGGGGGACCCGGGTCGGGGGGACCGGGGTCAGGGGGGCCGGGGTCAGGGGGACCGGGGTCAGGGGGACCCGGGTCAGGGGGGCCGGGGTCAGGGGGACCGGGGTCAGGGGGACACAGGGCCAGGGGGACCGGGGTCGGGGGGGCCAGGGTCAGGGGGACCCAGGGTCAGGGGGACCGGGGTCAGGGGGACCGGGGTCAGGGGGACCCAGGGTCAGGGGGACCGGGGTCAGGGGGACCGGGGTCAGGGGGACCGAGGTCAGGGGGGCCGGGGTCAGGGGGACCCGGGTCAGGGGGGTCGGGGTCAGGGGGACCGGGGTCAGGGAGACCGGGGTCAGGGGGACCCAGGGTCAGGGGGACCGGGGTCAGGGGGACCCGGGTCAGGGGGGCCGGGGTCAGGGGGCCGGGGTCGGGGGGACCGGGGTCGGGGGGACCCGGGTCGGGGGGACCGGGGTCGGGGGGACCGGGATCGGGGGGACCCGGGTCAGGGGGACCCGGGTCAGGGGGACCGGGGTCAGGGGGGCCGGGGTCAGGGGGACCCGGGTCAGGGGGGTCGGGGTCAGGGGGGCCGGGGTCAGGGACACCGGGGTCAGGGGGACCGGGGTCAGGGGGACCCGGGTCAGGGGGACCGGGGTCAGGGGGACCGGGGTCAGGGGGACCTGGATCAGAGGGACCGGGGTCAGGGGGGCCGGGGTCAGGGGGGCCGGGGTCAGGGGGACCCGGGTCAGGGGACCCGGGGTCAGGGGGACCGGGGTCAGGGGGACCCAGGGTCAGGGGGACCGGGGTCAGGGAGACCGGGGTCAGGGGGACCGGGGTCAGGGGGACCCGGGTCAGGGGGGCCGGGGTCAGGGGGACCCGGGTCAGGGGGACCCGGGTCAGGGGGGCCGGGGTCATGGGCCCGGGGTCTGGGGGACCCGGGTCAGGGGGGCCGGGGTCAGGGGGACCGGGGTCAGGGGGGCCGGGGTCAGGGGGACCGGGGTCAGGGGGGCCGGGGTCAGGGGGACCCGGTCAGGGGGACCGGGGTCAGGGGACCCGGGGTCAGGGGGACCGGGGTCAGGGGGACCCGGGGTCAGGGGGACCCGGGGTCAGGGGGACCGGGGTCAGGGAGGCCGGGGTCCGGGGGACCCGGGTCAGGGGGGCCGGGGTCAGGGGGCCGGGGTCAGGGGGACCGGGGTCAGGGGGACCCGGGTCAGGGGGGCCGGGGTCAGGGGGACCCGGGTCAGGGGGACCAGGGTCCGGGGGACCCGGGTCAGGGGTCCGGGGTCAGGGGGACCCGGGTCAGGGGGCCGGGGTCAGGGGGCCGGGGTCAGGGAGACCGGGGTCAGGGGGACCCGGGTCAGGGGTGCCGGGGTCAGGGGGACCCGGGTCAGGGGGGCCGGGGTCAGGGGGACCGGGGTCAGGGGGACCGGGGTCAGGGGGGCCGGGGTCAGGGGGACCCGGGTCAGGGGGACCCGGGTCAGGGGGGCCGGTGTCAGGGGGACCGGGGTCAGGGGGGCCGGTGTCAGGGGGACCGGGGTCAGGGGGACCCGGGTCAGGGGGACCGGGGTCAGGGGGACCCGGGTTAAGGCGGCCGGGGTCAGGGGGACCCGGGTCAGGGGGACCCGGGTCAGGGGGACCGGGGTCAGGGGGGCCGGGGTCAGGGGGGCCGGGGTCAGGGGGACCGGGGTCAGGGGGGCCGGGGTCAGGGGGACCCGGGTCAGGGGGACCGGGGTCAGGGGGGCCGGGGTCAGGGGGACAGGGGTCAGGGGGACCGGGGTCAGAGGGACTGGGTGAGGTCTTTCCCCCAAGCTTGCTTATTCCACACCAGGGGCGGAGAAACCGTTCTGACAGCGGGGCAGGTGCGCAGTCCAGGTCTGAGGGCAGGCAGAGAGCAGAGCGGCCCAGCACTGGGCGGGAATGATGGCTCTGTGCTTCTTCCGCTTTCTGGGCCCGTTTGGGAACTGTGATGTAGCGGGTCTGGCTTCTGAGCCAGGCGCTGGCTTCTCCCCCTCCCCCTCCTATTCCTTCTCTCTCCTCCTCTCCCTCCTCCCTCCTCCTCTTCTTCTCTCTCCCTCCCCTTCCCCCTCCTCTTCTTTCCCCCTCCTCTCCCTCCTCCCTCCTCCTCTTTCTCTCCTCCCCCTCCTCTTCTTCCCCCTCCTCTACTCCTCCCTTCCCCTCTTCCTCCCCCCTTCCTCCCTTTTCTTCCTCCTCCTCTTCCTCCTCCTTTTTGCAGCTGGTGGGGCCATGAACTCTCGGAGTCACAGAGAGGAAGTGGGAATTTCTTGCTAAGACCTTGACTCAAAGCTGAGTTCTCTGAGCCAGCTTGTGTGGTAAAAACATTGTTCTGAGGAGCCTTAGGGCCTGTATTTTGGTTTTAAAAAAATCTTCTTTGCTATCCATGTGGCATTTATTATCTCTGTGGGGTAGGGGCCAGGATTTAGGCCTCCAAACCTTCTCTATGCTGACTGGTGACTCAGGGGAGCCCCACGAGTATCCCAGATAAAAATAACACACAGGAGCCCAGGGCTTAATGCAGCTGCCACAGCTACTGCCTCAACAAGGCTGCTATTGGGTTGTTGGGAAAACGGGCTTTAGGTCGGGCAAAATCGCCCTTCAAATAAAGGTTTTACTCATCGAGAGTAAGCAATTTCTGGCACCCCATGAAATGCTCGCTTGCCCCTTCACCCTGAATCTCTCCAATATTGCAAGTGAAAACTCTAGAAAAATCAGTTTAGTTTTTATATGGTCAAAGAACACTTGTGTGTGAAGTTTTGGACCCTTAGGTTGCCTAATTTGGTAACTGGGGTAGCTGCTCTCAAACTTCTGTCTGGTTTTAGATGTTACCCTGAGCCCATGGGCACTGGTGGCAGGGCTCACCCCTTAGGTTCACCAGGAAGATTTGAGAAGTTCCTGCAATCCTGTCTCCTCCATTCATAAGTCCAACCCTGGCGGGTTGAAGTGACAGATTTGTGGGTTCAAAACTAGGAGGGTGGTAGGGTTTTATTTTGCAGTGGCGTTCTGCTATGTACTTCAGGCTGACCTTGAATTTACAGCAGTCTTCCTGCCTCAGCCTCGAAAGTGCTGGGATTATAGGTGTGCACCAGTATGCTACTGCGCTCAAGTGAGGATGGTAGGGTTTTATTGACAGAAAAGAAACAGAAAGGCTGGGGATTTAGCCCAGCAGCATAAGCACCTATCTGGCAAGCGAGAGGTCGTGAGTTTGATCCCCAGTACCAAAAAAAGAAAATAAAGAGGAAAAGCAGATGTGTAATAACTGGAAAAAACCCCCAGAATTCTTGCCTAGTATGTGTGAAGTGCAGGTTTGGATTTGAGGCATCAAAAAAAAAAAAGAAAGAAAGAAAGAAAGAAAGATAAAAGGAAGGAGTGAAAAAAGGAAAGACGATAGGAAAAAAAAATCCCATTTCTACAGCAATCTAAACCTGGAAATCAGGTTTGTTCTGACCCAGGGAAAAATGAGAAAGTGGATTTGCTTAAAAAATGAATTTTGGTCTTGCAAGCAAAACGGTGGAAAAATGAGCGATAACTGAAGAGCATGTATTTTAACCTTTTTATTGTAAGATAAAAATAGAAAAAAGAGCTACACAAGTCAAACATATAGCAAAATTTGTTACTATAAAGTAACAGTGCTCAGCCAGACCTGGTGATGTGCCTATAATTTCACTTCAGGAGTCTGAGGCAGGAGGGTTGCAGATTGCTGGTAAGTTTGAGACCAGCCTGGGGTACATATTGAGGCCTTGTCTCAAAACAAACAAACAAAAAAACACAATAAGATCAAATCATTTGTATCAATTAGATTATTTAAAAAATTAGGTAAGTCAGATAATACCTAAAAAAAAAAAACCTGGCAAGGATGCAGGCCAAGGGAACCACTGTTGGGGGAAGTATAAACTTCCCTTCTGGAAGCCATCTGACTCTGTTTCCTGGATTTTAGTCTGAGTGTCATCACCCAGCAACCTCACATGCCTGATGGAGCCCACAAGCACATTCATCAGAGGAGGGCCAGGCCATCCCTGGAGAAGCGGGGTAGACGTGGAACGCTAGCTTCGCAGTACCACGCAACAGTTGACCAGTCAGCTGCATGTACTTTGAGCCACACAACAATCTCAGAAATACGTGTCATCAAAGGAAGGAAAGCAGTAAGATGGTGGCACAACGTCATTTCTGTAGGCTGGAGCCGCATCTATTCACCAAGGTAGGATGTTTCAGGAACGTCTGTATCGCCAGGGACAAACACTAGGCATATGATAGTGGGGAAGTAGAGGTGAGTAGGGAGATGAATGGAGAAGAGAAGAGAATGACCAGTAATCCTGTCCCGGAGCAGCAGGGATCTGCTTGGCTCTCTCTGGGAGAGGGGAAATCTGCTGGGTGCGGTGGCACATGCTCGTCACCCCAGCGCTTGGGAGGCTGAGACAAGAGGTTTGCTGGCTGTTTGAGCCAGCCTGGGCTTCACAGTGAGCTCAAGGCCAGCCTGAACTAAATAGTGAGATCTTGTCTGGGAAAAACCAAAAGGAACAAGAAAGACTTCACATCTAGGAATCCCCCAAAATACTATACAAAGTACGTGAGGGAAAGAAGTGTTTGCCTGGAAAGCGGAGGAAGGTACCCAGACCCTGTGTGTGCGTGACAGGCAGGACGGGAGGCAAATGAACGGTGTAAGGGTTGAAGTGTATAAACAGCTGTTCATCTAATGCAGTGCGGTCCCCTGGAACAGAAAAAGGACACACATGGAAAGATGGGCAGAATCTGGTCTCTGCTGTGTGAATGAATAATAATAACAAGCCAGCGTCTGTTTCTTTGTTTTGACAAATGTACCACAGTATGTCAGGTGTTAACAGTAAAGTGAGCTGAGTGAAGGGTTTTTTTGTTTATTTTTTGTTTTTTGAGGTAGAGTCTCGCTACATAGTTCAAGCTGGCCTTAAACTCACTTATATAGCCCAGGCTGGCCTTGAACTCACAGTAATCCAGTGATCCTCCTGTCTCAGCCTCCCAAGTGCTGGGATTACAGGCATACACACCACATTTGGCGGCTGAGTGAAATTTTGCATGAACTCTCTGTTCTGTCTTTGCAACTATTCTGTAATGTAAAATTACTCCAAAAGAAAAATCTAAAACCTCTTGCCCAAAGGCATACCAAATAAATGAAAATCAGCCAATGTATCAATCAGGTGCACGTTATTACAGGTGAGACATATATATGAACAAAAGTGTTTATACAGTGTGAATTTTAAAGTTTTGGGTAATGAACATTAAAATGCTACTATCGCCAGGTCCTATTATTACTGGACTGTGGTACTGTACGCGGTAAATTCTCTTCTTTATATTTTTTGGTACAGTTTGAATATTTTACAATAAGAGTGTATAAACCATGAGAGGGGAAAAAATGACTTTGGTCTGAAAAACAGAATACCAGGCTCAGTGTCTCACTCCGGACAGCTTGGCAGTTTCTGACCTCCTCTGGGTGCTGGGCTCATCCTCTCCGGGGGCTGGCCCTGGAGACGGGCAACCTTCCTCCCTCTGCAAGGCCTGTGAGTTAATGGAAATGTGTCAGCTTGCAGGAGTGCAGGGAAAGCTGTAGTGTATTGATCAGAGAACTCAAAGATACTACGTTTCTGCTAACTAGTGTACCTGAATTCAGACGTACAGTATAAAGTGTACGTAACCGACAGTGTTCTTTTTTCCTTTCTTTCTTGTTCCTTTTCTTTCCTTTTGGAGTGCTGGGACTGAACCAGAGCCTGGCACATGGTAGGCAAGCACTCTGCCATGAAGCTACATCCCCAGCCCTTTGTATTTCACGTCATGGTCTGGCTAAGTTGTTCGGATTGATCTCGAACTTACATCTTCCTCCCAAGCCTCTGGTGTAGCTGGACTAAGGTGTGTACCACCCATAGGCTTTAACTTTTGAGGTGGTCTTAGGATCCTGGCGAAACTGAGTGGAAGCAAGGGGTTTTATAAACCCCTGTCCCTCGGCCTCCCCATTGCTAGGGTTACAGCGCCGGTGTGCTGTTCCTTCCAGCTTGTAGCCAACACTGAGGAGGCTTTAGGAAGAAAGCTGGACAGAAAGCAGATGTGGATAACGGAGGGCATCATCCCTAAACAAGTCAGCGCACACATCGGGGTGTTATTACGGTGGTGGGACATCTCTGAAGGAAAGGAGCAGGATGGCCATAACAGGTAGGGACAGGAGTTTGTAGTTGGAACCCAGGGACGGCCTCCACTGGGCTAGAGTAGGAATAACACGAAAACTAGGAGCCTGGGGAAAGAGCCTTCCAGAAGAGGCGGAGGCCCTGACAGCAGAGTGGGCAAAGGGGGAGCAGGGGTCTGCTATGTGGGGACGGAAGCTGGGAAGCCAGGGTGCAAGAAGGCGGGACCAGGCCTTGCGGGCTTTCCGAGCTGCACAAAGGGACTTCTTTCCTATACCTTTGAGGCCAGCAAGATGTAGAGGTGTTTTCTTCCTCCCCATTCTATTACTGGATGCACATTCCTTGATTTGTAAGAAAAGCCTTTTCAGAAAGACATCATGGCTCATGTAGAGACCGGCATTCAAAATGCACATAAAATTTACTTGATATTAGCCAAATTCCCCAAATCCCTGTGCACCCCAGCGTAGTTCTTCTATTTTAGGGCTTAAAATATGAGAGAAATTTCCTGTTTCTGCAAAACCAACTTGTTCATGTAAAGCAAACAGAGCTTGCTCCACTCAGCTCATGTTCCCAGACGCCTCTCGCTCTGGGTCCAGGACCCTGCTGGGCTCCAGCCCGTGAATGCAAGTCCTGGCCCAGGGGGACAGTGCCGGACCGCTGGCCCTTTACACACTCACCTCCCAAGTCAAACTTGATGGCACAGGTGCTGGCAAACACAGGCCTCGAAATCTGGGTCCTCTCTGGGATCCCCTGATAAGTCTGTTATCATGAGTCCTACACACTGTCATTTAATTTGCTCAGCAAATATTCATTGAACCAATATATTACATTATCAAGGGCTTGGATAACATCTAAATTATATCAGCCAATGGAAGACTATACAACCATTAAAAGCATGAAGTAGACACAGATTTACTGATATAGAAAGTGGTCCATTCCCAGCACTTGAGAAGCGAAGGCAGGAGGATCATCATGAGTTTGAGGCTAACCTTGGTTACACAGTGAATTCAGTCTGAACTGCATGGCAAGACCCTGTCTCAAAAAACAAACAAACAACAAAAACAGTGAAAAACAAAGAAAAAGAAAGAGATCCACGAGTTAAGTGAAAAAAAGCAAGTTACAGAACAACAATCATATTCTATTTATTTATTTATTTGAGACTGGGTCTTACTGTGTAGCCCAGGCTGGCCTCAAACTCACAGTGATCCTCTTGCCTCAGCCTCCCAAGTGCTAAGACTACAGGCATGTGCCACAACACACAGCCCATATTGTTTTTCTGTTCAATAATTATATATATATACCTATATACACACATATGGAAGATACCTTTTTATTTACACATTTCAATATTATCTGAATTTGTTACAGATAATGTTGTAATTGCAATAAATAATTGAGTGAATGAATCAATCAATAAATAAAGGACTTTTTAGGGTTCTCAGGATGAATGAAAGAGGAAACTCAATCCTTAAATTTCTCTCTCATTCTGTCTTTCCAATCTCAGGATTGACCCTAGGGCCTTTGCACTGATCACACCCCTAGTCTTTCTGTTCAAAACTTTTTGTATCGAGGATCACACCAAGTTATTAAGCAGCCCAGGCTGGGTTCCACCTTGGGGCCGCAGTGCCCAAGCTGCCCACAGTGCTGGGATCGTAGGTGTCTGCCACCACATCCTGTTCTTAAATTCCTCCTTCTGTCTATTTACTACAGATCCAGGCTGGTCTTTCAGGGTATGTTCCCTTTTGTTGCTACTCTCTTCACTCTTGTGTTTTGTCTCGGGTTGCTTAGGGGTGCTGTGGATTGAATCCAGGTCCCTGCTCATGGTGGCCGATTGTTCTACCCCTGAACCGCATTCCTAGCCTTTTAAATTTTATTCTGATGCAAGTTCTCACTAAATTGCACACAGACTGGCTCCAAATGTATGATCCCCCTGTTTCAGTCTCCTGAGTAGCTGGGCATCCACAGGCATGCCACACCCAGCTCGTGATTCTTTCAAAAAATAACATTACTGGGCTGGCGATTTAGCTCAGTGGCATAAGTGCCCGCCTGGCAAGCACGCGGTTGCAAGTTTGATCCCAGGTACCATAAAAAAATTTTATTTATTTATCTGGGTTCTGGAGATCAAACCCAGGGCCTCATGGATGCTAAACCACTGAGCTTACCCCTAGCCCTCAACTTCTATTTGAATATATTTTAATAAACTACTTCCAAAGAGTATCCATGATATAATAGATAATAAATTCATAACAGTATGGCCCCAGTTTGGGGAAAATTATGTACATATATATAGAAAAAGAACTAAAAGAAAACCAATCTAATTATCTCTGGGTGTAGGGCATATTAACCACAGTTAATATTAACCAAAGTTAATATAACCATATTAACTTTTTATTTTGTGAAAAATTTTCAGTATTTATATATTCTCTTACTATCAGAGAAAATGAGCTAATGTTTTTACGATAAGATCCCTCTATTCATTCATTTAATAGATCTTTATTGAGCACCTACTATATGCCTGACCTGCACTCCGTGTTTTACAGTCTGGTGAGAAGACTCACAGGAAAATAACATGGAGAAAGAGGAGGCATCATACAAAGTGTTAGGTGTTGCTGTCCCTATTTAACATTTGAGAAAACAGTCAGAGAAACTCCATGACTTGCCCAGGGTCATGTCAGGGGAGGGGGCCAAGCTGGAACACAGGGTTTCGTGCTGTGGACCACGGTACCTCTGTACCAGCCCTCACCTGACAGCCCTCTGATGTTTGGGTGTGAACCATTTCAGGCTGCTAGGAAAGGGTAAGGCTGACCCCGAGGTAGGCTCTGACCACCTGGCCACCCACCCGGCACACCCTTGTTTAATGCAGTTAAACATATTCCTAAGAGGAATGTTCATGGCACCTAACCCGGAAGCCTCATCACAAAAGAACAGTTTTTAGCTGGGTGAGTAATGTATGCATATAATCCCAACACTCTGGGAGGCTGAAGCAGGAGGATTGTGATCTGAACCCAGTATGAACAGTTTAGTAACTTAGCAAGCAAGAGCTTGTCTCAAAATAAAAAATATAAAAAGGGCAGGGACTATAGCTCAGCATGAAAGCCCTAGGTTCAATTCTCAGTACTGGAAACACTAAAAACCTCCACAAACCCAATTCCTACTTCAGGGTTAGGTCAGAGCCCCAGGTGGCGCTCCCAAGCCCATCACTGAATATTGCCACGCTTACAGAATCCACGAAGCTCCAGTGACTAGAAAGAGGTTTCGTCAGATTCCGAATAGGAAGCAGCAGTAGCAGCTGATAATCTGTGACCTCAATATAGCTATCCATTATCTCACTGTGGTTTCTTGTTTCTCTGACAGAGGAAACACCCCCAGCTTTCTTGAAGTTATTCTAAACACTGGGTTCCTTGTTTGGCTCTGGCAGGATAATGTTACCCCTGGGTGCTCCCGCACTTGGAGCAGTGACCCCCTGCCAGCCCAGCGCTCTGGCTCAGCAGCCAAACTGTGAGGCAAGCGTCTCCTCCACTCAGGAGCAATGACAGGATAGGCTGAGGAAAGACCCCAGGTCACAGTCATCGGGAGAGACGAGAAAACACAGCAACCAAGGTTTGCTCCTCTGCAAGAAGCCAGCTGGGCAGCACTGCTGTGCTGGGTGGTCTTGTGTCTCTGCTCCTCTCACCATCACTGCTTTCTAAAGCACACTCCAACCCCATCTGCTCCCCACTAGTTCTGTTTTTGCCAGGGAAATAATTCACCTCCTAGGATGTCCACTGTCCAGGTGAGGCGCACAGCCCAGCCAGGGATTCAGGCTGGAGAAGAAAAGCCCTGTTCAACCATCATTCTTAGAGCATCCAGGAGGCTCTGCCAAATTACTAAGTAGGCAAAGTGTCTTTGTTTTGGTTTGATTTGACTTTTGGAGACAGTCTCATGATGTATATCTGAGGCTGTATACTCTTTGAACTCACTGTGTGGCCTAGGCTGGATTTGAACTCATAGCAATCCTCCTGCTTCAGCCTCCTGAGTGCTGGAGGGATTAGAGGTGTGTGTTACCATTCTTCGCACCAGTGAAGTTGTCTTTAACTTCTCCTCCTGGCCACTCTCTGACCCTATTCATTATGCTTTTAGGAAGTCATATTCCTTAGGACTGCATCTGGAGAATCATTCATTCTGAAGAATTAAACATTTCCTGAGTTTTCCCTCTCAGGAATACTTAGGATTTAAAATACAAACCTTGAGGCCCAGTGTTAACATGGAAGACTCATCTCTGACAGGGAGGCCAAGGCCTGTGGGCTCACTGTGGCCCCCTGGTGGCCACAACCTCTCCATAGCAAGAGTCCAGTTTAAAAGATTTTTTTATTTATTTTAAAAATTTTTTAAAGAGAGAAACAGAAAGGTGAAACTCCTGCAGTTTGGTTAGAAAGAAATAGGGAAACTGTAAAAGCAGGTGGATGTCAAGTGCAGGAAAAAATATACAAAATTGCTCTCACATCCCCAGGACAAGGAGCCAGAAGGCCTTTTGGGAGAGGCAGAGGGAAAGTCACCAGGGACTCTGGGTCCTGAGGACATGGTATCCGACTGACAGGGATGAGCCCAGCTTCTAGGGGTCCAGCTCGGCCCCCAGCTCGCTGAGCCTTGAGCAGTGGCTTAACCAAAGGAGCTGGGGGCTCCAAGGCTGCCCTGTGCGAGGCGGCGAGCTGGAGAGTCAGGGGCAAATGTGGCCGCTTTGCTCTGCCTCCCAAATCTTGTGCAGATTTTCTTGTGGCTGACCCTGGCCCAGAAGTTGACAGGGAGAGGAATTCTGAAAAACACATTCTAGTTTGGCTAACTTGACATAGTACGAAGCCATTATGATTCTTTTCTGTTTGCCAAGCCCTCATCAATTAGTATGGATTGCACTTTTTTTTTTTTTTTTGAGACAGAAGATATTTTTTGGTTGGGGTGGACAAGTTGTTGCTATGTTCTCCCAGCTGGTCTTAAACTCTCAAGCTCAAACAATCCTCCTGCCTTAGCCTCCTAAGTAGCTGGTCCTATGACGCACATTGCTGTGCTTACTTAGTTTAGTATGCTTTACATTATTTTTTATTTTTTTGAGATGGCCTTGCTGTATAGTTCAGGCTGGCCTTGAACTTACTAGTTAACACAAGCCAGCCTTGAACACACAGTGATCTTCCTGCCTCAGCCTCAGTCCTCACCCTTTGAGTGCCGGGATTATAAGCATGTGCCACCATATATGCCTGGCAGTATGTATTACTTTAATAACCAGGAAAAAAAATTTTTTAAAAATCCTTAGAATAAGCATGGTTGTACATATCTATAACCCCAGCACTGGGAGGCTGAGGCAAGAAGATCACAAGGCAAGTCCAGCCTAGTCTAGGCCACTTTGCAGCTTGGTGAGACTCTATCTTAAAATAAAAATAAGTAAAAGGCTGGGGGTACACATCAGTGCAAAGGCACTGGGTTTAATCCTCTACCACACACAGAGTCCCTAGAATATACACCAACTGGCTACTAATGTATAGAAAGGGTACTCAATTGATCAATCAGTAGAAAAATGCAGATTAAATGCACAACAAGATATCTCATACAACCACCAGAAAAGCTAAATGAAAAAAGAGAAATAACACTAAGTGGTGGTAAGGAAATAGAGCAGCAGAACTCTCACACATTACTAGTGGGAATAATGCACTAGTAAAGCAAAACAAAAGAAAAAAGTAATGTATGCTTTTGCTGGGCATAGTGGTGCATAAAACAAACAAACCCCAAATAAGGTAATATATGTTTTGGGGAAATAATAACCTCCACACAGTATATACAAGTTGAGAGGATCAAATGCAATACTGTGTATTATAGTCCTTAGTGGGGAGGTGGCAGGAATATATAAACATGGGAATACGGATAGAGAATAACATAGGTAACCTGTTTTATGGTATTATGGTAAAATATACATAACATAAAATTAGCCATTTCATGGTATCTTTTTTCCCTTGGGTAGCAGGAATTGAACTCAGGTCCTCAAGCTTGTAAAGCAGGCACTGTGCTACTGAACTTCCTGGACCCTGATACCTCTTTTTTTCTTTCTCTACATTCATTCATTCTTCCTTCCTTCCTTCTTTCCTTTTTTAAGAGGAAGTGCAGGGGCTAGGGCTGTAGCTCCTAGATTGCATCTCCAGAAGTGAAAGAAAAAGGAAAAAGAAGAGGCTGCGTGGCTTTGTGTTCTGGGGAGGAGGTAGGAACAGGTTGTCCCAGTGCCCCATTCACTTCTGTCATGGCCTGCCTCGACATGCCAGGCGTTCACTCTGCTCGCTCAGGGAGAGCTTGTGGCCAGGCAGGGAACTGTCACGGCCCCTGAAGGCATTCCCATCATCCAACCTCCTGAAGCCCTGAAGCCGAGCCGGCCCAGACCACGGGAGCGCCTGTGAGCTCCAGAAGTGCTGTGGAATTCAAGTCCCACGGCGGTCACTCCACTCCCCACTCCCAGAACAAACACACAGCCTGACCTGTGAGCATCGCTGTCCCCAAAACTCTCATATGAGAAAGAAGATTATAAATACAGCAGGGCTTGTAACGCCAGTGCAGTGACAGTTTTGCTCTCCAGAGTGATGAGGCAGGTGGTTCTTTATTTGGCTATGACCCCACACTGGCCCCATCTGGAGGGGAAGGAACAGCTGTTAGATATCTACATGGGTGCACAAGCCAAGGGTATACACAAGCCGGCCCGGACATCACCGAAGGGCACTTGCTGAGCGCTTAGGAGACGCTTGCCACAAAGCATCCAGCAAGACGGAGGCAGGACCTGGCCAATTGCAGGCTCCAGTTGAGTTTCTAAAGAAAGCTGGTATAGTTAATTGGTGATTCCTTCTCAGATGCAACCCTAGATTCTATTCTACTGAGATCAGGGTAAGGCAAATACCACATGCATGTGTATAAAGAGCAGTCTGGAACACATTAATAGTGATCATCTTTGTGTGGTGGGGTGGGGTTGATTGCTCTCCTGTCTTTAAAGCAGGATTAGCCCAACGCTGAGGCACTTGGGTTCAAATCTCAGCTTTGCCATGTCCTTGCTGTGTGACTTTAGGCAGGTTATTTCATCTGTGTGAGTTTTAGTTTTTTTACTTGTAAACGGGGTGGATGATAGTGTACTTACTCCATGGGCTTTTAGGAAGTTTATGTAAACTGATGTGCATTCTGTACTTTAGAACAATGTTTTATGCAAAGAAAATACTCCAAATGGGAGCTGTTAATGCTCTATTTCTACCTTGTTTGACTTTCATTGAGCACATATCATTTTAAAGATAAAACAGTAAGCCGGGCATAGTAATGCACACCTATAGTCTCCAGTGCTGGGAGACTGAGACAGAAGAATTGCAAGTTCGAATCCAGCCTGGGCGATTTAGCACTTAGGGAGGCTCTGGCTCCAAGTGGGGTGGGGTGAGGTGGGGTGGCGTGGCAGGGAGGGCTGGGAAAATAGTTTGGTGCAATGACCTATGTTCAGTGCCTAATACCACAAAATAGTTAATAAATCAGACAATACAATTATTTTATTTTACTTTACTTTATCTTTTTGAGACTGTCTTGCTATGCAGTTCAGGCTGGCCTTGAGCTCACTTTGTAGTATAGGGTGGTCTCAAACTCACAATGATCCTCCTGCCTCAGCCTCCCGAGTGCTGGGATTACAGGCGTGCACCACCATGCCTGGCTTTAAAAAATACAATTTTTTAAAAAGTGAAGATTTTTCAACATGAAGCACAAGGACAGCCGTAGTGGAAAGAGGTTAAAGGGCATTCGGAGCTTGCTGGCAGGAAGGAGGGGCTCCGCATGGGCAGGATGGAGCTGAAGGGGACCTTGTGTCTTCATTTTGGCTTCCAGCTGAGGATTCATCTCCGCCTGCTCTGGGACACTGTCCCCACGACCCTTCCCTCAAATGCTGGAGCAGTGGCCCCAATTGGTCCCAGGCCAGCTGGTCACCAAAGGGTTTCTCACCATGACGGGGACCAAAGTGACCTAAGCAGCTTGGTGTAGGTTGGAGTCATTTCATCTCCTGCTCTGACATGCAGACTCTTCTCAGGTCCAGATGCTGGGAATGCACGCTGCTCTCAGCAAGACTCACGTCCACGAATCCCCCAGAGAACTCCAGGGGAGGCACTCGGTCCTCCCTCCCTTTCTTCAGGTTGTTCCTTCTCCTTTAAGTGGCTGCTGGCTCTGGCATCCCCCGCCTGGCACTCAGGCGCCCTGTGGGTTTTGCCTCTTGTCCCACTGAGCGTGCCTCCTGCAACTGTGGCCAGGGCACACATTCTCCCATATTTGGGAGTAAGCCGGAGCCTCGGCAGCATGTGGGTTTCTGTTTAAAATTCCAAAGCCAGCGGGGTGTATATTATCCATTTCCTCAAATCCAACATGCTGCAGAGCGTGAGTCAGAGTCGGATAAGCTTCTTCCCAGGGGAAGTTGTGTCAGTTGGTTAGTGAATGTAATTAAACAAGGATAATGTTCACTGGCATTAGCTGCGGATTAATGCGAGGAAAACAAAATCTCCATCTTGCACTATGCCTGGCAAGATCGCACAATTTCCCTGGGTCTCCCAGATCAGAGAGGGCTGCCCAACCCAACTTGTTTTTGCAATCAGAAGGGCACAGGAAACCCCTTCAATCAACGTTGTCCTCCTACCTAAATGAAGAATGCAGACATCAGGACCTTTCGGGGGAAGCAAGTAGATTCTGGTTATCTTATTTTGTGAGTGTGTTTAGATTTTAGCAAATACCAACGAGGCTTATTCTATCTGACTTAATCCATCATGACCAGATGGCTGGGTGGTGATCGAACTCAGTGCAGGTGGGCCTTGATAAGCTCCCCAGAAGCAATTGGGCTTTTTATGCTTCGCACTCCAATGGGTCTGCAGGAAGTTGCTCCAGGAAGCCAGGAAGTAACAGAGACCCGAGGCTCCAGACGGGCAAGGAGGGCACCCCAGGACAGGAAATCAGGGGTGAGTCTGGAGGGCACTAGAAACCCATGACCTCTGCGGCACACACTACCCCAGGCCCGCCCCTCCCACAGCCCTGGGAATCATAAAACAACTCCAGTTCTGGACAGGCTGTGGGGACCCTCTAGCCAGCTCCTCTCGGAAAGGAGCAGACTGAGGCCCAAGATTAGAGAAGTCGTTTGCCCAAGATCATCAAGCGAGTTAGTCTAGAGTTCAGACTTGACTTAAATCTACACTTTCTGTCTATCTAACAAGCTGCTCCTCGGGCAGCTTCCAGGAGTGGACACTTAGGGTGACCCCACTGAACCACCCTGCAAATACTTTCTTAGTCCTATCTTTTCAGAAACTATCTTTTCTAATACCTCCTGCTCAAAGCGTTAAATGCTAAATTATATCCGCAAACGAACATTCCCTTGATACTCAGGCCTCTCCCATCTTCAGCAGTGTAAATAATTTTAAAACAGTATATGTTCTTAACTCCAGCAAAAAGGTGCTGAATTTTATATTACAGTACAGTGGTTCAAAGCTTTTTGCTAACTAAAACAGCTTCTGTTTTTCCTTGTTCATTTGTAGTACTGGCGATTGAAATCAGGGCCTTTGTATTGTGCGAGATTACCAGTTCTTTTTTAATTTTTAATTTTTAAATAGATTCTCTTTAAGTCACTATGTTACCCTGGCTGGGCCTTAAACTTGCCATCCTCCTGCCTCAGCATCGCAGGGTGCTGGTATCACAGGTGTATACTACCACAAGCAGAGCATTCTTTTGTCTTTCTAGACAGAAGAATGCTAATTTTTGGTTTGTTTGTTTCATTTTTGTTTTTTTGAGCAGGGTCTCACTATATAGTCTAGCCTGGCCTTGAATCAATGCGTAGCCCAGGCTGGGTTTGAACTCGCTGCAAGCCTCCTGCCTCAGCCTCCGGAGTGCTGTGTGTACCACCACGTGCAGCTAACAATCTTATTTTTATTTTTTGCTTCTGTTTTTTGAGACAAGGTCTTACTATTTAGTTCAGCCTGGCCTTGAACTTGTGGTGATCCTTCTGCCTCTGCCACCTGGGTACTGGAATTACATGTATGTGCCACCATGCCCAGCTCATTTTTAAGACTGTTGAAAAACACATGCTTCTTGAGATTTCCAAATTCAGGTTGTTCTGGAGTTAAAGAAAAAGGGATTCCTGCTAGTTCGATCAACTCCGATGAAGCACACCCTGCCTCCACTACCTTTCCCTTGAGTAAAGTTAGCAATGCACCCCATCTTTTAGGTGTTCCTCTGTTTTCAGTATTCTTAAGTGCCCCGTCTGATGGAGGGCAAAGCATTTTGTTTTTCTTAAATGTGAGATTGTAGTCCTTCCGCCCAAATAGGATGGAAAAGATGTTTCCAAATAAGGAAGTTTTGCTGGAGGGTGTGTGGCCTGGGCAGCAGCAGCAGCCGGAGCCCTCACCCTCTCACACAGTAGTTGCACTAAGCCAGGAAGCATTTAGGGACTCATTAGCACGTCTGCACAGCTGAGCCGTCTGGGGCAGGGGCAGAGCCGGCTAGCGGTGGTGACAGAATTGTAGAGAAGGCAGAGTTTGGCCTTGACACCCTCTCCAGCTCTCTCCATTTCCCCTTCCTAGTCCTGGTCTCACTCAGCGTCTGCTTTCAGTTCGGAATAGGAAAAACAAACAATACGGAACCCCTCTGATTCTGTGGAATGACATAGATTTGGTTTAAAATCCCAGCTTTCTGCCTGCAGTCTGTTAAATAGCCTTTGGTAACAGTTAACTTTTTGAAGCTTTTTCCTTTCTTTCCAAGTAAAACAAAACAAACCAAAACACAACAATACACAGTGCTTATCTTGTGGAGTTGCTATGCAAGGACATGCCTCCAAAGTATAACGCATGTAATGTGTTCTAAATGATCTAAGACTCTAAAATCACTCCTTTCTCATCCTTTTTAAGGACTTCCTTTTCTATCAGAACGCCTTAGTTTCAACCAGCCATAAGTTATCTACCATCTACCAAGGGTTAGAAAGAAAGCGTGATTAACCAATTCACACTAAGTTACGGGTGCCCATGCTAAAAATCCACTGATTTATATGAACTTCTATGATGTTAGATGTCCCTCCAAAACCTCCTGCACTCACAGGAGGGGCTTTGGGAAAGCCACTGGATCCTGTGTGTGATATTCATCAGTGGATTGGTCCACTGAAGAGTCTGGAATTAGGTGTAAGGTTGGGGGTGTTTTGGGGGAAAGGGTGGGCGTGGCCTGGAAGGTATACCCATCCCTCCTTCTCCCTTGATCACTCTGTGTCCAGCTGCCATGCCATGTGCTGTCTCTCCTCCCCGCTGCCCCTCTGCCATGCTACCCTTCCTTGAAGCCAGCAAATTATCAACTGAAACCTCTACAAACTGTGAGCCAAAATAAACCTTTCTGGGAGGAGAATGGGGGAAAAAAAGAAGAATCAAGATAAGTATGTATGGGAATAAATTCCCTATGATGAATGTGATCATTATGTATATCAAAAGTGTACCAATAAAATTAACTTTCAAAAATAAGACTTCCCGCCTTTCAATTGTGGGAGTCGGGTACTGTGTCTCAGCAAGGAGAAAGTAACTAAGGCAACTTCTATTTGCTGTGACCAGTGATGCTGTTACAAGTAAAATAAAGAATTTCCTGTGATATGGAAGTATTCTGGACTGAATAGCGTGTCCTGAGAAGCTCTGGCTCCCAATGTGAGAAGTATTTGGAGGTGGGGCCTTAGCTCTTGTCCAAATTGGGTTTAAATGTGGTCACAAAGGTAGGCTCTGCTGATGGGATTCGTGTCCTTATAAGAAGAAAAAAGAGAGACCAGAGCTCACCCCTTACCACCATTCATGGGAATGTGAGAGAAGGCAGGCATGGACAAACCAGGAAGACAGCCCAGGAACCAAGTCCACCTGCGCCTTTAAACATGTTGGACTTCCTAGCTTCTGGTATTTTGTTACCGCAGCCCAAACTGATGATCAAAGGGGGATGAATTGTAACACTCCTTAATTTATACCACTGTGCCTTCCTCTCTCTAACCCTAAAGCTGATTGCCAATTGTTCCATGAGAGGCTATAGAATTTGGAAATTTGATAAACAGACTCTTTTTCTTTCTAGACAGAAGAATGCTAGCTAGCTTGTTTTTGAAAGCTGTTGAAAAACACATGGTCTTTGAGATTTCCAAATTCAGGTCACAGTTCTCTCTATAGAATAATTCTGGTCTGATTAAGGACAAACAAATGTGGTACACCCATGCGATGGAACTTCCTTCAGTCATAAAAGGTAAGAAGTAGCAGATACATGCTACAATATGAATACATAAATGAATGCTATAAACACTGTGCTATGTGAAGCTCAGCGCGAAAGATCACCTATCATTTGATGCCACTTACAGGAAATGTCCAGATCAGGCAAATTCAGAGACAAAATAGATTTCTGGTTGCCATGGATAGGGGAGAAAAAGGGAGTGATTACTAATAGCAATGAGGTTTCTGTTTGGGATGAAAATATTTTGACACTGTGGTTGCACAATTCTATGAATAGACAAAAAAGCAACTGAATCATATACTTTAAGTGGATGAATTGTGTGGTGCACAAACTGTAACTTAATAAAGCTGTTACACACACAAGCAAAGGTAGTCAGTCTTAAGTACAGTTCTTGTTACTTTGTAGGTACTTACAAGTTCATAGTTACAAGACAATGGATCTCCTGAAGTCTGGAAAATGGCCCTGTATTCTGTTTGGGAGTCCTGGTAAGTGGCCTTTTGTTGAGTCCAAAAGGGACTTAAGAGGGCGGCCAGGGGAAGGACCTTACAAGTCTGTCATTCTGTACTAGAAATATGAACACAACTAGAGGAAACATGTAGAAATGGCTTCAAGAGTACATTTTAACAGGTTTAATACTTTTGTTTCTTCTTAAAAATCTAATTTCTCAGGGCCAGGATGTAGCTCAGTTGCATAGTGCCTGGCAAGTGTGACATTGTAGTACCAAAAAATTTTTTTTAAAAAGGAAAAACATCTAATTTCTCATTAAATCCTATAAATACAATAAGCCTTATTAGAAGGATATCATTGCTTAAGATTGGAGTCACCAGCAAAATCATAAAATTACTAATTCTACAGGCAGTCAATTAAAATGGACAGCCATGTCAGCTGTACGAAGATGAGACAAGATCTTTGGCAAGATGCTAACTATTAACAGATTCTTTGTTTGTTTTGTTCTAAAGCAAAAAGATTCAAAGGCCAAAAAGAAATTTTTAAAAAAATTTTTATCAGTACCAGGGATTGAACTCATGACTGCCTGCTTGCAAGGCAGGCGCTTATGCCACTGAGCTAAATCCCCAGCCCCCCAAAAGAAATTTATTTAAAATAGTTTTGCTTCAGGCTGCAGATATAGCTCAGTGGCATAAGTGCCTGCCTGATAAGTGCAAGGTCCCGAGTTCGATTCCTCATGCAAAAAAAAAAACTCCCCCCAAAATTATTTTGCTTCAAAGATCTAAATTATCAGTGGGAAAATTAAAGTAACCTTTTATAGGCTACAAAACCTAATATTGCTGGGCCAAATGCTCCTTGACTTACACGATGGTATTATATCTTCATAAACTCATCACAAACAAATGTTTAACACACATACCCTACTTTATAACAATGTACAGTACAGTATTTGTTGTTCACCTTCAGGAGTGTATGGCTGACTGGGAGCCATGGCTTGCTGCTGCTGGCCCAGACCACAAAAGAATATCATACCACATACAGCTAGCCCAGGAGAAGATCCACATTCAAAGTGTTGGTTCTCCTGGACACATACTGCTCTCTCACCATGGTAGTAAGAGACTCATAAGTCAAGCCATGATAAGTTGGGGACCATCTGCATTTGTTTTAGGATCACTTTTGGTAAGAATGGTATTACCAATGTTATTACTACTTTGTGATTTTTTATATGTATATCTGATTTATTGTACTTAAGAGTATGGTCTCAAAGTGCATGTATTTACCTAGAAATGTTTCAAGTTTATCCTTCTTTATGGAAGAGTAGTACTCCATTGTATAAAACACCACATCTGCATCCATTCATTGATTGATGGGCATTTGTGCTGTTTCCAAGATTCGGGTATCACAGACTGTGCCGCTATAAACTTGGGTGTGCCTACTCCCTCCTAATTTGTAAAGTGGAAAATAATAAAGCATAATTCAGACCTTAAGTAAGCAACCTCCATTTCCTCATTTAGTCTAAGACAGCGAGGAAGCAGGATTAAATCACTTTTTCCAGCTTACAGAATGATTTGATAATATAAGAATGTGTTTAAATTAGTAAGCATACAAAATTAAGGCTGACTTCATACGTTTTAAATTTTTTTTCTTTTGATGGTACAGGAGATTGAACCTGGGGCCTTGTGCACACTGGGTAAGCACTCTATAACTGAACTATATTCCCCATCCCTTAAATTTGTTTTTAAAATTGCAAAATCAATGCATGATTACTATAAAAATGCCATAGTATATATTATTAATAAATAATTACTAACAATAAGTGTTGACAATGTACATGACACTGAGTTTACAGCTATCTCATTTAATCCTCACAAGTCTTACAAGGTAACTGTTATTATATTTTTTCTACATTTTATAGTCAAGGGGCTGGGGATTTAGCTCAGCGGCATAAGCACCTGCCTTATAAGCAGGCAGTCGTGAGTTCGATCCCTGGTACCGATAAAAACGAAAAAGGCAAAAAAAAAAAAAAAAAAAAAAACATTTTATAGTCAAAAAAACAGAAACCCAGAGTTAAATAAATTAAATAAATTCCCTAAGGCAAACATCCCACAGGATTTGAAACCATGCAGGCCTAAGCTCTTAAATTCCTTTCCACCTTGTGTGTAACCTGCACCAACTTCTCCTCCAACTCCTTTCCCCCACATTAACTGTTCACTAATTGGAATAAAGCTTACTAATTGGAAAATTATCATTAACTTTTTCATAGAAACTTCAGTTCATGGACCCAGGGGAAATGAAAACTCATGTCTCTATAAAAACATGTACACGAGGCTCACAACAATATTATTCATAGTAGCAAAAGGGTGGAAATAACCCAGGAGCCATGAACTGGTCATTGACAAAGTATGCTATGTTCACGCAGTGGGATATCATTCAGTCATAAAAGGGACTACGTACGCTACGTCACGGGTAAACATTTTGCTAGGTGAAGCTGGTCACAAAGCTTCACCATAGCTGTGCATTGTTCAGAAGACACAAATCTGCAGGGCAGTGGAATCTATGGAGAAAAGATTGGTGGTGCTTAGCATTGGGTGTGTTGGTGATAGAATTGGAATTAACTGCAAATGCATAGGAATTTCATTCCTATGTGTGATGGAAACAGCCTAAGAGTAAATATGGTGAAAGGGTTTTTTCTTTATGTACTTTGTTTGTTTGAGATATGCTGTAAATGATCTCCTTTTTCTAACAAGTATATAAAGTTGTGATTTTTCAACATCTTCCTTCTCTGCTCATTATAACCTTGTCATATCTGATCAGCAAACTACCTACCGACCTACCGACCTACTCTAGGTAGCACAGGCTGGCCTGCAGCTAGTGGTGATCCTCTTGCCTTGAGTTTTTAGTGATCCTTTTACCTCTGCCTTCAGAGGTTGGGATTACAGGTGTATACCACCGTGTCTGGCTATTTGCAAAACTCTTTAGACATAATTTTATTATTTATTTATTTATTTGTACCATGGATCGAACTCATGATCTTGCACTTGCCAGGCAGATGCTTATGCTGCTGAGCTAAATCCCCAGCCCCTAAACATAATTTTAAAAATTGAACTATATATTTACAGTGTGTGAATTTTATAGTATGTAAATTGTATCTCAAAAAAGGTGTTATAATTTCAGTTCATGATAGCGAGAAAACATGATCAAAATCCACTTGATTATTTCAACCAATCCTTCAAATGTAAAATATATAATAAAAAACACCTTCACAGATCAGGTGTAGGTAGTTTGCTGATCAGATATGACAAGTAATGAGCAGAGAAAGCAGATTTTTAAAAATCACAAATTTACATACCTGTTAGAAAAAGGAAAGATCATTTACAGCATATCTCAAACAAAAAGACCCCTACCTTTTTTTTTTTTTTTTTTTTTTTTTTTTTTTTTTTTTTTTGCCTTTTTGAGACAGGGGCTTGCTATACAGTTCAGGCAGGCCTATGAGCTCACTTTGTACCCCAGGCTGGTCTTGAACTTGCAACGATCCTCCTGCCCCAGCCTCTTGAGTGCTGGGATTACAACAGTGAACCACCATACCCAGCTAAAAGACTCATTTTAATGGGTTTTTCTTTGAATCATATTTGGCTTTTATAGACTACTAAATATGATTTTAAAACAACATATTTCTGAGTTGGCCACATTGGCACACACCTGTAATTTCAGCATTCTGGGAAGCTGAGGCAGGAAGATTGAAAATTTTAGTCCTGCACTGGAGATGTAATGCAATCCTATGTCAAAATAAAGAGAGCTTGGGCATTGCTCAGTATGAAAGTGTTGGGTTCAATCCTCAGTACTCAGGGCGGGAAGACAGCGTATTTCTGGCAAGGAGACCAGTAAATTAGCTACGATGATATGGTAGCTAGTCTCTAAAAATGGCCCCATGGCTGATATACCTCCCATTAGCCAGGATTTTGTGTAATCCCTTTCCACATAAACTCTATATTGCTCCTGTGACTCAGTTTTGTTTTGTTCTGTTTTGTTTTGAGGAATGTCTTACTATGTAGTGCAGGCTGGCCTTGAATTTGCTTATGTATCCCAAAACTGTTATACAGATTCAATGCAATCCCAATAAAAATACCATCAACATACCTTATAGATCTAGAGAAATCACTCCTAAGGTTCATCTGGAACCAGAAGAGACATAGAATATTAAAGGCAATTCTAAGCAACAAAGGCAAGGCAGGAGGCATCACAATCCCTGACTTGAAGTTATACTACAAAGCAACAGTAGTAAAATCAACATGGTACTGGAATCAAAACAGAGCAGAGGATCAACGGAATAGATTAGAAGATACAACCACAACTACAAATACACTCAACCACCTTATCTTCGATAAAGGAGCCAAGCAGGTTCACTGGAAAAACGACAGTCTTTTTAATAAATCGTGTTGGAAAAACTGGCTCTCCATTTGCCGAAAACTAAAACTCGACCCAAGCCTATCATCATGTACTAAATTAAAATCTAAATGGATCAAAGATCTGAATATTAAAACAGAAACACTAAATCTATTGGAAGACAAATAGGTAGAAACCTTGAAGACATAGGAGTAAGTAGAGAATTCATGAACAGGACTCAAACTGCACGGGAAATACTTCCCAGAATCAATAACTGGGACCACCTCTTATTAAAAAGTTTCTGTAAGTAAAAAAAAAATCTCCAGCATAGTGAAAAGAAAACTCACAAATTGGGAAAAGATCTTAGTGAACTCCCCCTCAGACAAAGGACTTTTGTCTAAAACATATAAAGAATTTAAAAAAATCAGACTCCCAAAATTCAAAGACCCAATCCAAAAATGGGCATCTGAGATGAATACACACTTCTCAGAGGAAGAAATACAAATGGAAAATAAATACATGAAAAAATGTTCATCATCATTGGTCATTAAAGAAATGCAAATTAAAACCACACTGAGATTCCATCTCACTCCTGAAAGAATGGCCAGGATCAAGAAAACCAACAACAACAAGTGCTGGAGAGGCTGTGGGGAAAAAGGAACTCTCCTGCACTATTGGTGGGAGTGTAGACTGGTACAACCTTTGTGGAGGTCAGTCTGGAGATTTCTCAAAAAGCTGGGATTGGAAGTCCCATTTGTTCCAGCTATTCTACTTCTAGGCATCTTCCCAGAAGAACTGAAAGCATCATACCACAGTGATATATGCATGCACACCTATGTTTATAGCAGCACAATTTGTAATTGCCAGATCTTGGAAACAACCCAAATGTCCATCAACTGAGGAATGGATAAAAAAGCTGTGGTATTTCTATACAATGGAGTACTACTCAGCTATAAAGAAGGATCACATTGAGGTATTTATCAATAAATGGGCACAGCTTGAAACCATACTCGTAAGTGAACTAAATCAAACTCACATCTGTGAACACCAAATAGTTTCCCTAGTGTAGGAAATGATTCAAATATATAAAAGTACGTGATAACCATGATTCCCCATTATATGGCTTTGAAGCCTTATAAAATTTTCACTCATTAATTGGAATGGCTTTATTCTGGGCTGTTTGATATTATGGCCTGTGATGCAATGAACAGCTACTTTGAAGAAAATAAGACATAATAATAGCTAGTGCTGATTTAATACCATCTTGTCTTAAAGCCACACCAAACTATGGCTCTTCTGTCTCCATTGATTTTATCATGTTGTAACTTGCTGGATTTTATTGTATGTGGTAGTATAAACAAAAATTATTATAGGCAAAGAGATAATATAGAAACCATTGATCATTTTTTCTGTTAGCTGGTTCTAAATACTCTACAATGCTTTCATCCATTTGAATGGTGTTACACAGTCTTGATATGTTTGATGCTATAGCATATGAAGTTATATTCAAATATTTCAAAGAAAAAGACACTATGGTAACTACTATTAAGTCGGGTTATTTGATGGTGAAGCACTAGGTTGCTGAAAGTGTCATGCTTTAACCTGTATTGTTATGTTGTTATGCCTCCTTTTATCTCATCCTCTCCCTTATTCATCAAAAAATTATTTAATTTAAAAAATATCAACCAATAAAAAATGCTGCTGGGTCTGTAGGGAAAAAGGAACCCTTTTCAACTGTTGGTTAGAGAGTAGACTAGTACAAACACTGTGGAAATCAGTGTGGAGATTCCTCAAAAAATTAGGATTAGAGGTCCCATTCAACCCAGGTATTCCCCTTCTGTGTATCTTCCCAGAAGGATTGAAAAACATCACACCACAGTGACATATGTGCAACTATAAGGTCCAAAATATACAATAGTCATTGTGAAATGGGAGGAAACTGTTCAATAAAAAGAAGAAACTAAGATAGGGGATAAGAGAAAGGATAGAAGGGAAAAGAAAAAAATGCAAGTTAGTTATACCATTAGTATCACTTAGTTCACTGAATAGGAAAGGTTGTGCTAATATTGACTGAAGAAATTTTTATGCCCATATTTTGTACTTGAGTGACTAAAGATAATGATGTGTAATTTATCAACAATTGTTACTTTTTTATTATTTTGTTGTGAAAATTTGTTTTACCTTTTCTCTTTAATATTAACAAATAAAGTAAAAAACAAAAAAAAAATTTAAAAAAAGAATTTGCTTATGTAACTCAGACTGGCCTTGAATTTGTGATCCTCCTGCTTCAGTCTCCCCAGTGCTGGGATTACAAGCATGTGCCACCATGCCTGCTAATCATTTTAATTTGAATTTTTTTATAGTTCTGGGGATTGAACTCAAAGCCTTATGCATTCTAGACAAGTGCTCTACTGCTGAATTATATCTCTAACCCCAAATTGCTAATCATATTAATTAGATTTAGAATACCACACAAAAATTTGACACTAGATGATGAGTTCATGAAAGCTTATATATTTTTGGTATGCTTGAATATTTACATATACTTTGACTTTGTTTTGTTTCATTTTAAACAACAGAATACAGAGCCTGGTGTGGTGACTCATGCCTGAAATCTCAGCAGTGAGGAGGCTGAAGCAGGAGGACTGCCTTGAATTCAAGGCCAATCTGGACAACAGGGTGAGATACTGTCTCAAAAACCAAAAATAAAGAACTGAACAACAGAATACAGTGACAGTGACATTGTATTAGTTGTGAACTTATGCTTTGGAACTACCTGACAGTTTTGGGTTTTGTGGTTTTTGAAGAGTACTGAACTGCCATATCAAAGCCTGAGAGATTTCTTGGAGAAGGGACTCTGAGACAGCACAGGGCCTGAGACTGTACGGAGGAAGAGGCCCAGCCATCCAGCAGCCAGGAGAAGCCTACCCTTCCAGCCATCCTGATTGGGGCACCAGACACATGAGTGCACTATTTTGCAAATTTCTGAAAATGAATGAAGCCCTATCTGACATCACATAAGGCATAAGACAAAACGTGTAGGAAACTGAGAAGCTGAAGCTGGGACTGTTATTTTCCAGGCTGTGAATGAAAGAAGTAAAGAAAGCCAGACTGTGCAGGGAGAAGAATGGAGCATGTGCCCACGAGACTAAGAGGCACCAGAAGAAGATACAAACAGAGAAGGCATCAGCCCTAACACCTGACCACTTCCTTATTCTTTGTGTTCTGAGACCGGGCTGTAACCCCTACCCTTAGATTCTGTGAGATCTTCATCGCTGTGCAATGCACGTTTTTTTGCTCAAATTAATTTGGTTTCTCACTGATACAGCTCATGTGGGATGGAGTTGCTAAGAGGAGAGCAACACATTCCCTGGTGCTAGCGCGTGGGTAACAGCGGACAGAAGCAGGGTTGTGGTGTTGGCTACAGCGATGACCTCATGATGCCCTGGAGAGAGGCCACCTGGTGAGGAGCTGCGGCAGCAGTGTCCTAGGTCTATTCCTGACCACTTGCTAACAGCTCCCTCCCCAGGTCACACTAAGAGGTGACTTTGGGCAATCAGAGGACTGAGTATTATTTGTTTTAGCATTAGTAGAAATGAGGTTGAAATTTGTGGTGCTAGCTGGGTGTGGTGGCACATACCTGTAATCCCAGCACTTGGAGGCTGAGCAACCGGGCTAGGCTACAGAGTGAGCTCAAGGTCAGCCTGAACTGCATAGGGAGATCCTGTCTCAAAAGACAAAAAAAAGAAAAAAAAAAGAAAGAAATTTGTGATGCTAGGCTGGCAAGACCCAGGCATTTGGGTGATCCAGATAAAATGATTGCTTTATAATAGGCCATGGTTATATTATTTCTTGTACACCTTCCAAGATTTTCTACCTCTTTATAAAACATTCTGCTCTAGGGATGCTTTACTTATGTGTCTATGGAGAAATACACCTGAGCACATGAAGGTGACACAAATTGCTTAGAAAACAAATTGCATTTTAGGTATTTTGCCATGAGGCTTACATTCTTTCATTAACTTCTATTAAAAAACTACTTTAGCGGTTCTAAAATACTAAGTGTCTTAGTGACTTTCTCATGGATGGGACAAAATACCCGACACTGATAAGTTAAAGGAGGAGATATTTATTTGGCTCACCGTTTGTAGAGGTTTCAGTCCAGAGTTGGCTGGCTCCAAGGCAGGGCGTCATGGCAGGGGGGGAAAGAGTTCAAGGTGTAGCAGCCACTGAGGGAGGAGAAGGGAGATACACCCTTAGGCTTCACCTCGGAACATCTCTTTCTCTCTCTCTCTCTCTCTCTCTCTCTCTCTCTCTCTCACACACACACACACACACACACACACACACACACACGCAGCTATAAACCCATCAGTGGGCTAATCCATGTCACACACCCATGATTCAGTCACTTCCCAAAAGCCACACCTGGCAGCAACTCCAGCTTTGAGGGGAACATCTAGATACAAGCCATACCGCTGAGGATAAGTATCTTTACAAAGCAAGGTTAATAGAGATCACATAATTAAGAGAAAATAAGAATCCCCTTAGAAAACACCGTAATGTAACTACCCATAATGCTGCAAACGATGGTACTGGGCTGTTCTCAAAAATGAGTCCTCAAAGAAATATTCTGTGTGGGCTGGGGTTGTAACTCAGCGGTAGAACACTTGCCTAGAATGTGCAAGACGCTGTGTTCAATTTGCAGCAACATGGACACATACACATACCGTGTACCTGACGCTGCAGGGTGTATGTGGGTTTTATGAATAAAAAGATGCATCTGAGGTTTTTTCTTAGGCTAGGGACAGAGACAAGACTGGGAAATAGCAATGCACATTAACCTAAACCCTTTCAAAGGAGAATACTAACGTAATTTAGCTACTGTAAATCCAATGGGAATTTATTGGTCTTTATATTTGACTGGTCCAGGGCAGACTGGCTTTAAGCATAACTGGATTCAGAGATTCCAGTCAACAATGAGTCAAATCTTTCCCTATCTCTGTATTCTGTTTTTCTCATGGTTTGGCCTTATTTCCTCCACTCCAGATAATGCCAACAACTTCAACAACTCCAACAACTCCAAATTCACATCTTTGAAGCTCAGCACTGCTAATAGAGAATTAATTTCTGTTAATCCCTATATATTAATTTCAGGGAAGGATCATGATTGGCCCTGCTAGTGTTACATGTCTACTCGTGAATGGCTGTTACCACAGAGGGGAATAAAACATTGGCTAACTGTGGGTCATATTCATTCCACTTTAGTAATGGAGGGGATAGTGCTAAGAGAAAAGAGATTACTATAATTAAGAGCCCACAAGGTGATATGAAGCAGGAGAGGAATTCTCCAAAACAAATGGGTGTATTGCAAACAAAAATGATAGAAGAAACATAAAGTGTTAAATGCTAACTATAGGGAGCCACAGAACTTAATCTAGAATTTTCGACCTTTCCTTGCTCCATGCCTCAGTTTCTCCAATTTGCTTAGGGGATGTCTGTCAGTCCCTAATCACATGATAACATTTTTTTCTATCCACTGTACTTGATTTATTGCTTTTTTTCTAAACATCTTTGCTTAGTAATATTTACATAAATATTACATTTGTACTTCTACCTCATACCAGGTGTAGTGACACATACCTGTAATCCCAGCACTTGGAGGCAAGAGGACTGTTGAAAGTTCAAGATCAGCCTGGGCTACAAAGTGAGCTCAAAATCTGTAAGCTGCGCAAGCCAGAGAAAAGTCAGCACCTCCTGAGAATCGGCCATGCTGGGACTGACAGGAGAACATCAAGAAGCCAACCAGCCAGGCTTTCCTGTAAACCATGAGAGCCATGTGGGGCCCAGGAAGAGTCAAACAGCACCTCCTGTGAGGCTGAGAATCAAACTCCCCCTCCTGCCTTAAGCAACCAGCTGGTTTGGAGGCCAGGCTGAGTTGATAGCAACTAAGGTACAAAAAGCAACTAAATGTATTGTTTGGTTGATTTTGCAGGCCTGGAGCCAGTGGAGCATCTATTGGGAGGATGACGGTATGCAACATAGCAAATAAGGGGGGGTTTCCTTCTATCTTGTCTTTGAACTCTAATATTGCTCTCAATATTTTGCTTTGTTCTTACTGTTTTGCTTTACTCGGTGTTCTGTTTTAATTGGTTTTATTCTGGTTTGATTTAATTTTGCTATACCTTATGGAATGGACAACTATTGTGAAGATAACAAGATATACTAGGTTAGCTACTGTTGTTTTCCTAGTGTCCTGTGTTGAGGTTCTGCACCAGTTTTGCTGCTTTGTTTTGATTGGCTTTGTTCTGTTTGGTTTTGTTGGATTTTATTATCTTCAAAATTAAAAAAATACAAAAGAAGTTAAAACAAACAAACAAACAAACAAAGTGAGCTCAAGGCCAGCCTTCACTGCATATTGAGACCCTGTCTCAAAGGCAAAGACAAAACAAAAACGAAAAATATGTCCTTCACTGTTACATGCTTAGAAATAGACAATGAATCTTAGTCCCTTTTGCATTGCTATAATAAAATTCCCAAGGCTTCATGCTTTATAAAGAGTTTTATTTATCTCTCAGTTTTGGAGGGTGAAAATTCAAGACTGGGCAGCACCACGTGGTTGGCCACTTGTGAGGGCCTTCTGGCTGCATCCTACCCAGGGGGACAGCATCGCATGATGAAAGTGCAGGGGTGAGAGGGCCCAAGGCAAGGAAGGAAGCCAGAGCACAGCAGGGCTGCTCTTCACAGCAGCCTCTCCTCACAGCAATGAATGCTCCTACCAGCTCAAAAGCATCTCTGACATCAGCACTGATCACTTTGCCAGACTCTTCAAGACTCCCGCTAGACTCCACCTCTTAAAGGGACCGCCACCCCTGTAAAAGCCCTGCATCACAAGCTTTAACGTGAGATTTGCTGGGGATGAAACTTGTCAAACTATTGTAGCTTCTTGGTAGCAAAGAACACAAGGATTAAAAGCCCAGTTTTCTTTTTTTTTTTTTTTTGTCTTTTTCCTTTTTATCGGTACCGGGGATGGAACTCACGACTGCCTGCTTGCAAGGCAGGCGCTTATGCCGCTGAGCTAAATCCCCAGCCCCCAAAAGCCTAGTTTAAAATTTTAGAAAGTTTGAAATCTTTGGAGCTTGATCAAGTGAATTACATTCACCCACTGTAAAATCTCTAACCCTTTTGTTACCTCACGCATTTTCCATTTATTCCATTTTCCACGTATTCTCCTTTTGTGTACATATTTTTTCAGTCCAGAAGACTTTTTTAAAAAAACATTTATGATGCATGTCTACTAATGACAAAGTTTCTTAGCTATGTCTGAAAAATTTTTATTTTGTCTTCATTTATTGTTATTATTTTTGAGATAAGGTCTTGTAAAATTGTTCAAACTGGCCTTGGATTCACTATGTAGCCCAGGCTGGCCTTGAACTCATGGTGATCCTCTTGCCTCAGCCTTCCAAATGGCACAGGCACATGCTCCCATATCTGGCTTGTCTTTATTTTTGAAAAGTGTTGGTGGGGAAGGGAGGGTTTAGCTCAGTGGCTTAAGTGCCTGCTTGGTAAGTGTGAGATTGTGAGTTCGAGCCCTGTACCAAAAAAAAAAAAAAAAAAAAAAAAAAAGCGTTTCCCTAGGCACAAAATTCTAGGTTGAGGGTTTTGTTTGCTTTTGCTCTGTTTTTTAATTTTCTTTTCATACTTTAAAGATATTACTATACTAACTTCTTTTTTTTTTTTTATCGGTACTGGGGATCGAACTCACGACCACCTGCTTGCAAGGCAGGTGCTTATGCCACTGAGCTAAATCCCCAGGCCCAACTATACTAACTTCTAAATTTCATCCTTTCCAGTGAGAAATCATCTTATTCTTCTCAGATCCATAATTACATGAGCTGACCCCCACAATCACTCTTTCTCCAGATAGATAGAGAGACAGATAGATAGGGTTTGTAGACCTGTCCCATTAGTTCTCTTTCTCTGGAGATTCTAATACAAGTATACTTCTTGATGTCCATGTATTACAAAGTGTTTCCACTCCGCTGTTAGGATAGCAACCTCATCTGCTCTCCGTGAGACCAGTGGTGAGCTGAATCACTCCACCTTTACTTTCAGATGGTTCTTTCTCTAGCTTTTGGTGGTTTTCTCAATGCAGGCTCCTGAACATCCCTAGGCAATCAAAAGAGCTTCCACCTTAAGCAGGTCTCTCCTTTCTGGTATTTATTCTTTGCAGTGTGACCCGGGCCCGCCGAGTCAACGTAGACACTAGAGGGGGAGTGGGGATGAGAAGGGACAAGAGACTCGAAGAATGGAGACAAGACAGGATCGTGATCAAGTATCGCTTATTCAAAGAAAGAGTAACGAATATACAGGATATTGGGGGAGGAGGGAGTTGGGTTCCTAGAGGTCAGCAGGTAACTTAGCAACAGTGGCAAGATAGAGGGTTGGGGGCTCATAAGGCGGATTGATTAACACAATCCCTGAATGGGCCAAACAGGCTAGGCAAGGAGAGAAGCTTAACTATCAAACTTAACTCCTAGAGGGGTTAACATGGCTGCTGCCTGCAGATATAAGGTGGCAGCCGATTACAGGGCTTCCCACATCAGTAGGTTATAGTCTCCCTGGCTTTCCAAGACTCTCAGCTCCACCTCCTCAACTCAGGGGCCCACTGGGCTTCTCCTCCCTGTGCAGGCAGTAAGGCAGGGGAAATAGCAAAGGTCTGGTCATTTGTTCCCACCTCTCTCTCTCTCTCTCTCTTTTTTTTTTTTTTTTTTCCTTTTTTATCGGTACCCGGAATCGAACTCAAGACGGTGTGCTTGCAAGGCAGGTACTTATGCTGCTGAGCTAAATCCCTAGGCCCTCCCACCTCTCTTGTATCATGTGCTATTGCCACATTCTGCTAATATTGCCCAATGTTTAGAATTATTGTTCGTATTTTGTTTTCTTTCTCAGAGTTGGGGATTGAACTGAGGGCTTCATGCATGTTAGATATCTACTACTGAGCTATATCCCCGGACCCTGGTTTTTCTGTTTTTAGGCAACAGAGTAAATCTAGTATATAATACTCTGACCTTCTTGATCAAGATTGGAAGTCAAATTCTTGTTTATCCCAGTCCTAGTTAGATTTTCTGCTATTCACAGTTAAAAAGCATTTTTAATGATGTGCTCCCTGTGCAGTCATTTAAGTGGTACATACATATTCTGAGTAAAACGTATTTTTTTCTTTTGT